ATTTGATTTTGAAAGTGGCCAGATAAAAAAGAGCGAGCGAACGGGGTAAAACGAATTGAAAATGGCCAAATGGTTAGAAAGATTAGAAGCTGCATGGGGTGAATGAGTTGGGGAAATAGAAGCAATTCCACTTTGCAGATGGAGTGTGACAGATAAGTTGCCGACACTGATGCTAAAGGGTTATGGGCATGGTATCCTGAAGTTTCCGATAAGTTTAGTGATAACATAGCTTGAATTGGTTTGTTTAAGTTTTTGTAGGAGATATGAAAATATTTAAGATGAAATTTTATCCAAGAACTTATCTTTAATCAGCTTTAGCCACTTAATATCAATGTAAGTAACAAAACTGCCTGCTAAGAAGAGTTATTAGTTTATTAAAAACTAATTCGTCATCCTAAAGGACCCAAAAAACACTATAAATTCCATCGAAAACCGCATATAAAAAACGCCTTAAATCTCGACTCAATCATTTTGTGCTCATCGCATCGTATGAAATTTCCATCTATATGTAATATTTAAATAGCCCATACCATCCCAAGCACAAACATAAATCTCGGAGAGAAAAGCATCCACGATTTGAGCATCTGTGCTGGCAAATTTAAAGCCATTACACTAATAAATAATCTGCCACAAATTTAGCACATTGCCATCGATTTAATACAGCTTCAGCTTCATCTGCAGGTTTTCCATGGAGCCATGGAACAGCAATGGAACCACAGAGCTATCCGCTAAAGACACGCCCACAGACAAATCCGAATCCAAATCGCATAACCCCCTCAGCTCACACATGCTCCATATATCTACATACATATATGTATAAATGCATTGGGATGAGCATGGGGTTGCCAGGACTAAAGGAGGTTTATTTCGATTCCGAGTGCTAAAAAGGGAGCCAGGAAAAAATTCATATGTCTGCTGCTTCTGTGGCTGCTTTCAATTGCTTTTTGGGTTTTCGATGGTGGAAGGGGGGCTAGCTAAGCGAGCGGAGCAGCGTTTGGCCATCATCATCGATGGCTGCTTTCAATATCTAATAATATTGCGCATACGCCACGTTGCCAGATTCAAGCTCGCAGATTTCGTAGTCGAAGCTGCTGAAGCTGTTGCTGGTTCACTTACGTCGAGTGCGTGTTGGCGCAATAATCAACAGTTATATTATGAATGCACAAACAGAGACGGACATTAAATTAGTTACTTAAATGTTGAAATAATTTTTCCTTTAAAGAATTTTAAGATTTCTTTTTAATTAATATTTTCAGCAGTTCTGGTCTTTTGAATTATTACAAAATAATGATTTCAGGATCCTTCTAATATCTATTAAGATATAAATAAATAAACCATAACAATATTTTAACCCCAATAGTAATGTTCATAATGCGCATTTTAACCCCTTTTGGAAAGAAGGGAAAACACACAGCACAGTCCAACACTCCCACACACACACACACACACATGACACTCCATCTAAGTGATACGATAAATTCAGGATTTTCTTTGCATTATGTGCAGATTTTGCTGATTTTCCCTTGCCACACCCATTGTTGCCCTACACTCCAATGTTTTTTTCGGTTCACCCCCAACCAGATGAAAACTTTTTTAATAATAAATAAAAGTGCTTAACTTAATTCGTGGTCTTTTCTTTTGCTACCGCTTTATGTGCACTGTGGATTTTCCGCTTGTTTTTCCTCATTTTATTTGTTTCTTTGATTTGACACGCCCCCTTTGCACCCACCACCCCGTTATATCCTGACCCAGCCACACAATGTGTGGAAATAATTTTTCGATTATTGTCAAGTTTTGCTTTATTTTCCCCGCCCGCTCTATCGCAAGGGGGGGGAGGTGGGTTTTCTTTTTCTTTTTCTACTATTTTCATGTGGCATTTGTGGCTGTTTACCTCGCCAGCGGCCAAAATGCAATTTATGTGTTGAGAGCGAGTTTCATTTTATTTTCGTTCGATTTTTGCTGCTTGTTTGTGTTTCTGCTTTCAATTTTTCTTATATTTTTTTGCGATTTGCTTTTATTTTAGACGCTCGTGTGAGGTTATTGGCAGTTGTCATTTGTGTGTGATTTACGTTTATCGCTTCGAGTCGAGCGTGTAATTTTCTTATTGCAGTCGGCAAGTGGGAACCTAATCTGCGGAGGAAGTGGTGTTGATATTTGAGAGATAATTTAATGGTTTTCGAGGGCTTAGAAAGGGGATAAACAAATTTTAGCGGCTATTTATTGTGGATATTGTGGAAGTAATACTTTTCATTTAAATTTAAGAAACTCTAAGCTTAAGCAAACAAAAAAAAATGTACAAAATAGTTTATTCTACTTTGAAATATGCAGTCAAAAAGATGAATTTAAAATATTTTAAAATTAAACTAACAATCGTTAACTATAAACCAAAATAATAAATCCATAAAAACAATATATATCTTTAGAGGGATAACTAAGAATGCAATTTCAATCGATTCTTAAAAGCAATCAATCAAAGAAAATATTTGTATAAAAATACATTTTCCTAGCTTCCGCAAAAGGCTCTGGTAATTGTCTAAACCTTAAACATTTTCCTTCCATTTACATATTTTACCATCATTCTTACCGGTTTTTCAGCAAACAAGCAAACTGACAAACTTGCAAAAATCAAGAAAAAAAAAATTGCGGGTTCAATTGAAAAATCCATTATTACCCAGCCAAGCAAAAGGAAAATGGGAAAATACTTGTTTGTGTATCATAAAAATATCTCGAATGTTTCCGTTTTCGTCGCTGTATATCAATGAACTCACGTTGTTGCTGTGTCTACGCATTGACAAAACATTTTCCAAAAAGCAATTAAAATTTTAATAAAATAAACTAAGCAAGGAACCGGAATAACAAGAATGGAGTGAAAATATGGTATGGTTATGGTGATGGTATGGGTGGACTTTTTCGATACAATAGATGACATTAAAAATCCATACAAAAGATAAACACATTTTTCAGCTAGCTCAGGGCAGAACACAAACACACACACACCCACACACATGTGCGTATATATATAGCTGACAAATATCGAAGAAGAGCAAAAGGAGAAAAGATTAAATTCACTTAAGTGCAAAGTATGCAAATGACAAACAGACCAAGAGATAGAGAGGGGTATAGAAGAGTTGAAAGAGAAGGAGGAGAGAGGAGACGGGAATAGAGACCAAGACATATATGAAGTGCCTGGCAAAAGCAACCACACATGCCTGCATTTGAAGCTAGAAATATTGTAAATTCAAATTGAAATGCATGTGTGACATTTGCCATGCACTTGGCCCAACCAAAAGAAAGAGACGGTTAGCGATGGTAGGGAAAGAGACGGAAGTAGAAGATCCAGAGCCGATACAGAGATACAAATGCTTGTGGCAGCCGAGGATACAAAAGGAGTCCGTCCTTCTGCTAGAGTTTTAGCTCTGGCAAAATTGAATGCAATTTGACAAAAATCATAGTCTATAATTTCGGGCCGCCAGCTTAGCTGACTTCTTACCAACTGGACCAACCTCCTGAGCATTCCATGAGCCATACACATCCTACCATTACGAGTTAATAATTGAACATTTTCGGTTTTAGGCAGAGCTAAATTGCTATCATTTTTTGTTGGCCTTTTTGATTGGGGTTGTGGCTTCTTTTAGGTGAACAGTGCGTTTTGGTCAAAGAATGCGGGTTCTAGGAATACATTTTAATTGGATGAATATCAGAAAAAAACATGATAAATAGTAGGTTTTTAAGTTTGAATTATGGAATATGCAAAATGTAAAATTAAACATTGGTGGCCCATGTAGCGTTTGCTTTTTGAACTATCGATAATTTTGACTTGGACTTTTCGAATGTCATTGTCAATATGTCAGATATTTAGTAGAAGGTTCGCGGTTTACGAAATGGTTGAGTTTACGCTCGAAGAAAATTGGGAAATATTGATATTTTTATAGCGATTTAAAAACTCAAATCTTCCGTGGGCCAACCTATATTAAATATGATTTAAGTATTAATGGTATTTGAAAAATTAAGACTTGTCAACGCTTATGAAGCTGTTTTGGTCTTTCATATAAAAGATTGTATTCTTATATTCGTTGACTCTCTGCCTGCTACCTTATGTTACCGTAACGCACTGTATTGCCACATGCACCACATTCATGACCCGCTCATTCAGTCGGAGGCTGTGCAAATATTGCCGCAAAAAGCAGTGGCATTTCGCAGAGTGAGACGGATACAGAGATATATATAGACATTTTTGTATTTGCTCGTTGAACTTGTGCTCTGTGGCTCCTATATCTGTCTATCTGTCTCTTTCGCTTTTCCCATATTGGTCCCTTTCCCACTGTAGGCCAAAATTTCGTACTCTTATGTCTCTTTCCCTGGGTGCTCTCTGCTTCTCTCCCTGGATTTTGTGAATGACTTTTTGGCACTAATTAAAAGTAGCAAATAATTTTCTATGCCAACTCACATACGCCCCCACACACACACACACACCCTCCCACAAGTAGGAATGAGTGTTGGAAAGAGAAGGAAAATGCAAATATGGCACAGCCTCTGCTCGGAAAATCCCCCTTTTTGAGCCCCTTGAGCCACCCGCCCCTGTGACAATGACAATGCATGTGACAGTTTCGGTTGGCACCGTTGATAAGCGTCGCTTATTGTCCCTCTGCCACAGCTCTTAACCACCCAGTCACCCACTCAACCAGCCCAATTTTCACCCAACCGGTTGACAAAAAAGTTGGGCAGCTTAAGTCGGAAAATTTATTATTATTTTTCTGCATTGCAGGCTGTGTGCAATTTTAAATGGATTTTAATTAGTTTTGAATTATTTTGGCTTTCGGTTTAGTTTTTCGGCATTTCATGTGCCATTTTGGCATTAAAGTTTGGACCATTATAGTATCCTGTGGTTTATGTAAAGTTTAACTTTTATTTGAAATAATTGTTCAAAGGGGACATTCATCTTGCAAATACCATAAAAACTAAGTAAGTGGTCGTATGATATGAATAAAAGTTATGTCAAAGAGTAACATTCCATCATAAGAAACTAATATTAAACTCTGAAAAATAAAACCAATACCCATTGCTAGGCACTCGAATCATGAAGTATTTATTTTTCATGTTTTTACAAGTGAAAACAACTTTTTAATTTTGTTTAATTAATACCAAGTGTAAAACTGAAAATATTCTCTGCCAGAAAGTTGGAAATTACTTCTTTTCGCCACCTTTGGTGGCCAGTTCTTTCATCAGATTCAAGGCACTGCCAGCTTTGAACCACAGTATCTGCTGCTCGTTAAGGGTGTGGTTCAGTTGGATCTTGTCGGCGCCACCATTGTTCTTGATCTCAGCTTCTACTGGCTTTCCTGGTGCCAAATCCTTGAGATTAAGCAGCGAGATCTTGCTTGATGGCTGGATTTTATCATAGTCACCGGGATTGGCAAAGGTCAGAGCGAGCATGCCTTGTTTCTTGAGATTAGTCTCGTGGATTCGGGCAAATGATTTCACAATAATGGCCACACCACCTAAGTGACGAGGTTCCAGAGCGGCGTGTTCCCTCGAGGATCCCTCACCGTAGTTTTCCTCACCCACAGCGCACCACCTTAGTTTGTTAGCCTTATAATCCCGGGCTACCGCTGGAACAGCATCAAACTTTCCGGATTTCTGGTTCTTCACCTTGTTCATCTCGTTATTCTCAGCATTGGTGGCTCCGATAAACATATTATTAGATATATTATCCAAGTGACCCCGATACTTCAGCCATGGTCCAGCGGCACTGATATGATCCGTAGTGCACTTGCCCTTGATTTTGATCAAAACCAGCAAATCAATGTAGTCCTTGCCATCCCATTTCTCAAAAGGAGCGAGGATTTGTAGTCGATCCGATTTGGGATCTACATTTACCTTGACATCATCACCTTTCTCTGGTGGAGCCTGATAGGTGTCCTCACCGGGATCAAAGCCCTTGGCAGGTAATTCCTCGCCGTGCGGTTCCTTTAGTTTAAACATTTTACCATCCTTACCCTGAAGTTCATCCGTTAAGGGATTAAAATCTAAACGTCCTGCGATGGCCAAAGCCGTGGCCATTTCTGGACTGGTAACAAAACAATGTGTAGCCGGATTGGCATCATTACGACCGGTGAAGTTACGATTATAAGATGTAACAATAGTGTTCTTTTCGCCCATCTTCACATCCTTGCGATCCCATTGGCCAATGCAGGGACCACAGGCATTCGCCAGCACCGTTCCACCGAAATTTTCAAGAATTTTTATAATTCCATCCCTGGCAATGGTGGCCCGAACTTGTTCCGATCCCGGTGTAACGTTAAAGGGAACACAAGATTTAAGGCCGTGGCTCAAAGCATCCTCGGCAATGCTGGCACATCGGCCCATGTCTTCGTACGAAGAATTCGTGCAGGAACCAATCAGACTCACTTTAATATCCATCGGATAGCCATTCTTTTCCGAGTTTTCGCCCAGTTTGCTAATTGGGTGAGCCAAATCCGGTGTAAATGGCCCATTCACTAGGGGTTCCAGGGTATCCAAATTGATCTCGATAACCTTGTCGTACTTGCAGCCCTCGTCTGGCACAAGCATATCTTTATTTTTCTTTGCCGCCTCTGCGATTGCACCTCTACCCGTGGCACACAAATAGCTGATCATTCGTTCGTTAAAGGGAAAAATGGATGTAGTTGCACCGATTTCAGCTCCCATGTTAGTTATGGTTGCCATACCGGTGCAGGAAATGGATTCGACACCTGGTCCATAATACTCCACAATGGCACCTGTTCCTCCTTTGACGGTCAGGATCTCGGCCACCTTTAGAATCACATCCTTGGGCGATGTCCAGCCACTGATCTTCCCGGTGAGATGACAGCCAATCACAGTTGGGCACTTCAGTTCCCAGGGAATATTTGCCATCACATCTACGGCATCAGCACCACCGACACCAACGCAAAGGCAACCCAAACCACCGCCATTGGGGGTATGAGAATCAGTACCGATCATCAACAGACCCGGAAAAGCATAATTCTCCAAAATAATCTGATGGATGATGCCACTGCCTGGCTTCCAGAAACCCAAATCATATTTCGCACACGCAGAGGATAGGAAATCATACACCTCCTTGTTGAGATCCTTGGCTCTTGCCAAATCCTTATCGCCACTTATTTGAGCTTCGATCAAATGATCACAATGCACTGTGGACGGAACAGCTACCTTCTTCAAGCCCGACGAAATGAACTGCAACAATGTCATCTGAGCAGTGGCATCCTGCAGAGCAACACGATCTGGTCGCAATCGTAGGTAGGATTTGCCTCTTTCGATTTCCTGGGTATCCGGTTCATCCAAATGTGAGTATAAAACCTTCTCAGACAAAGTCAATGGTCCAGTAAGTTTAGTCTTGACACAATTTAAGGTCTCCCTTAACTTCTTGTAGGGCAATGGTATACCCTTGTCGAAATTCGACATTTGTGTTTTATCACATCGTGGAAAGCGCGCGGTGTGAAAACTCCGCATCATGGATCCTGCCAAACTTATATACCTCTGCGTTCCTTTAGACATCTTAATGTAGCTTTTTGTAAGTGTACAAATTTTGTCGGAATTAAGGGTTCAGGAAATCAGTTTGTGTCGATATAGGCAAGGGGAATAACTGGAGAGTATTAAATATCGATTGCTATGTTTAGGTTTTATGCTTCAGTTGCCAGGTTTTTATCTTCAAGAAGCGTAAGTTTAGGAATTTGGCAGTGATACCGATTAAATCCAATCAGAAATCTGAATCAGTGCAGATTTAGTAGTTTTTAACCTTAAAATATATACTGCAAACAAGGCACTTAGACTTTAATTACTATAACCAATAAAATACAACCTATCTTGGGTATATCTGGACAAGCCTAATCGTAGCTATTAATTAAACAGACTCCACACCTCTGGCAACCTTATACTCATATTTATTGGGTTAGCTCATTGTTCCATACGTATTTGATGCGAACCAACAGTTGCAGATGCAAAGTGGCATCTAAAGGGAGAGGTGAGTGGGCATGTCAACGGAATTGATGTTGCAAGTGAATCAGGCTCTTGCCTGAGCTTTGCGATTGGAAAGGTGGAGGACGGAGTTTGCAGGTTGGAGGTTGGCGTATGAAGGCTGGAAAGAGGACCATCGATGGCATAGGCCAAGTGACAGACAACTAGAGACGAGACGACGAGGACCAGCAAACTGGACGGCTGACAAACAGAAGGACAAGGGATGCCAGGATGCGAGCTGGCTACAAAAGTGTCAACTGCAAGTGAGTGTGACGGTGGGCACTGCATCCTCCTGTGATTGTGTTTGGTTTGCTGGCATCGTGTCATAATGGGTGATGTGGGATGTGGGACATCGAACAGGAGACGAGAGACGGGAGACAGGAGACATTGGTAGTTGGCCGCACCACATTCAATTGAAATCGACGTGCCTGTTGGCCACAATGCCATTGACGATCCTAGTGCTGCTAGTACCTCCGGGTGGTTCCTTGCTTCTGATGGCTTCTGGTAATGGTAGTGTCCTGACCTGCCATCCCCGCTCCCCTTTATGCACCCACATAAGTAGGCGGCCGGACGGCGTAACGATGCCAAAAATTGATTGGCAACTACTTGGCACACACTCTCGACCGCAAAACTTTTTCTCCACTGCCACTTGAATTTTACACTTTAAAATAAATAGGGTTAAATTATTTAAAGGAAGGGTGAAGTTTATCAGTTAAATATTTTCCAAGAAATCGAATAAGAAACTAGCAACGTTATCATTTGATTTTTTATCTGGAATTTTTTAAACTTAGGTCATATTCTGTTTTTTTGCCTATACTTTTGTCAATGCCAATTTTCCCAGAGTGCCTGCTCCTTCAATAGATTGTGAGCCTAGCAAACGTTGATTATTAATCTGTATAATTGATGGATTGCTGCTTGTTCCGCTTTCAGCAACATCGAATTGCATATTTGAAACTATCCATCCATTTAGCTTGGTGTTCTCTTTTTGTTTTTTTGTGCTCTGGCAAAGCGTGTTGGGTCACTCCGATTTCAGTGGGGGGGAGGTGGAAACTGAAAATGTCAAGGTTGTGCAAATTTCATCCCAAACACATGGTCATTCAGTTTTGTGCGCTGTCATTTGCCATCGCATATTAGATTCGCAATCTCGTGCCACCGTTTCCCGCTGGTCATCATTCGCTTCTCTCCCAGAAAGGAAAAACGCAATTAGCTTAAATATATTTGCGTTTGTCCGTTGGCCTTGGCCGGAAAAGTGTCCCATTTCAAAGTGTTTGCCGACGACAATTCTCATTCGCTTTCGCTTAAATTATTGCATTCGAAGTATTAAACTTTTTCCATTAATAATGGAAACTTATGGTGCAAACGATTGGAAAGAAAGATGTAATAGAAACTTAGCTTTAGTTGCGGAGAAGTGAGGAGAAATCTTAGGAATCATTTTTAGGGTTTATTTTCTGATTTTAGAAACTTTGTTATTCGAAAACCTTTCACATAATCAAGCAGCACATAATACATCAACTTAATAATAATAATTCAGAACATAATTCCCCCAGAATTAAAGTATATCTCACATATCCGGCACGCTTCAAAGTTTTAGCTGCTGCTAGTCCTTGCTTTTTTCTACTTTAGTGACTTGATGTCTGATTGGGCGAATGCCCGAAAATTGCCGGGAAAATTTATGTACTGCTCGGGGAAAGAGAGAAAATGTGGGCGTACAAACTATGGCCATATGTAGGTGGAACTGATCTGGGGAATCGGTAGGTTGGTTGGGCAAAAGTAGGTGTGGCCACTGTGGTGTCGGTGGCCAAAGTTGCAACAAAACTGAAACTTTGGACTGGCAAAAATTTTTAATCCTCGCTTTCGTCTTCTCCTTTTATTATTCCCCACTTTTTACAGATTTTTTTTTATATATTTTGTTCGAATCTTTTGGTCGGGTGTTTGGGGAGTGGGGTTGGGATTTTACCATCCACTGGTGAACAATACGTTAGTTGTTTTTGCAGTGAGCTCCGCTTCGGCACAGCTTGCGGTAAAACTTTTCAATAATATTCCCAAAAGTCCAGTCCAGACGCCGATGAGAAGGAAGGCCAGAGAGGTGGTAGTGGGGTAGGGAGAGAGAGAGAGAGAGAGAGACACCGGAGTGCCAGTGGCAGTGGAAGCGGAAGTGCCGCCGTAGTTTGCCATCTAGCAGGGATAGCACAGTTTTTGGCGCACTGGCAGCAATATTGCAATAACAACCGAAAAAAATTTGAAACCGGTGCACATTTGGCAGCTGGTTCTCAGAACTGATTCCACTTGGTTAGCTTCAATTCGACATTTATTAACATTTCTCAACTGATTTTGAATAGCCGACAAAATGTTTACAATAAATTTGCAACCCCTGCAATGCAGCAATTATATTGCTGGCTAATTTAATGTGATTTTAATTTATACATTTAGATGGTACTTAAATATCAGATAGCTGTAATAAAGCTGTAAATAAATTTTAAACGATTCCGATCAATAATTAATTGGTTAGTTACGATTGTAGTTAGGTTATGTTTTGGTCGTAAATATTTTTGTTAATTTGAATTTAAAAATTTATGTACTTAAGTGATAATGAGATTTATATCTCATCTAATCTGATCGAAATGAATGGATATCTTTTTCGTTCTTAGAAAGTAAGCTAAAACCCTCGACTTTAACCAATGAAAAAATTCTGCCTAACCAATTGAATGCGTTTCCGGGAATAGCCGTCCATTCGAGTCCGGCTTTGTTTTAGCGCGCCAAGCAGACAAATTCAGTATTTCCTGCACACGTGGCTTTGGCGATTTCCTTTTGTGCAAACATATTTTACCGCAATTGCGGCACATATACTCGTACAAACGCCTGCACCGAGTTTCAGGGCGCCATTGAAGCATAAGTAACCGAGTCCCAGTCCCCAAACCCGATCCGGTCTGGTTCCCTTGTCGCCAGGACCTAGTGGCCGGTACCCATTTCCCTGACCACTTCAATGGCCCTGTCCATGTCCCATTCATATATATAAATATGGATTTTTGCCGTGCGTCTAAGCCATAAGTTGACCGCTTTTCCGCTTGCCTCGTACCCTTTATAAACCCTCTTGGCTATCCATTCATAAGCTCAATTCAGGCGCAAGCCGAGCTCAGGCGGTATTTTCACTAATATTTTGCACTGCTGAAAAGGGGAATAATCATAATAATAATATATATTACAAAATATTAGTAAAGATCTTTAGAGTTATGGAAAATGAAGCAGATCTTAGACGTAATCGCTTAATACTGATAAACTGACCAAACTGACCAAACCCTAGTTTGGGTTTTATAGACTTTCTAGATTTTTAAAGGATTAAAATTATGAAGAAATGTTTCTTCATGTGCAGTGTAGCTTAGCTCTTTTGTTTCTCACTTACTGCACGTTATTTGCCTTTCATCCCACGCCACCATCGTCGACTTCATCGCTCAATGGATGGCCGCTACCATTGCGAGCCAACCTGCTGCACCTGGTTCACCTGGTTTACCTTTAGGTGCAACGGCTTTCCAGTTACTCTCCCTACAGTTCCCGCCGCCCGTTTTATGATCCCGGCTCAGTTACTGCGTCGCTTTTGTCTGCATTGTTTCAGTCAATAGACGCATTTGTGCGGGTCAGTTTGGCAAAAAGAAAGCCATGTCCGAGAGCCCAAACCCAAAACCACCCATTCGCTGAGTTTCTCTGTACTAGTTTCTCCATTTTTTTTTTTTTTTGTATTACCTAGAGTTAGCTGGCCGCACATAATTAGATTTAATTTGCAGCCAGGTACGGTATATCCAAGTTTAGAGTCAACTTCTCCTTGGCATGCAATTTTAATGCATAAATTATGCTCAACAACGGCGCAATTTAGTGGCATAAACCTGGCAGCTTAATCCGGCGTTGAGTGTGCGTGTGTGCTTAAAGTTGGACCTTTAAAACTGGTTAATGAGTTGTAGTTTATAATGGATTATAGTCAGCCTTGGATTTGGATAATGGATTTGAGGGTTTAGGGATTAGCTTTCAAGGGAAGGGAAGGGAAAGTGAATATAATATTAAGTTTGAGCCATTTTTAAGATAAGTCATAAAACCTTTTTATGTATGTAAAATACACTTCCATTTTTGTTTAACTTTATATTTAAATAAAATAAAAGAAAAAGGCTCAAGAGTAAGAACATCTTAGGTCCTTAAGCTTTATCAATTTTTCTTTCCATTTTCCCTTACTTTTAGTTACATAAATCAGTAAAAATCAACCTCGTTACTTAAGCCTCACTTAACCATAACCAAATCCATAAAGAAATACCATTCGTACACCTCTTTATGGCACACTTAAGCAACCTTTTTCACAACTTTAAAGCCAAGAGCGGGAATTTATAGACCATTCATTTTCCATTTTACATTTACTTTTCGAGGGCATCATAATGCCGTCGTCCATCGCGGCTAAACGATAAACCCTCTTGGCTTCCTCGGCTCCTATATTAATATGTACACAATAATTATTCCCCGGATGGATTACAATGTGAACTTGGCGAGGAGCAGCAGATGGAAACGCTAAAGCAAACGGAACATGGAAAAAAAATTGTTGAACTGTGTGGCGTAATGTTGTTGAACTCCCTTAGAGGTTGGGAAAAATGAGGTTGGGAAAAACGGAGGTTGGCACTAGGAGGTTTGAAGCTTGGAGGTCGGAGGTTGGAGGTCGTCGAGCAGGGCAGTCAAGCGCAGTGAAATGGACACGAAACAATGCCTTGGCTAGTGACCATCTGACCCACTGGTTGGTTGTGCGGCAAAACCACCGTGGTGGTTTTTCTCTGCTACTTAGCTTCCATTTTCCTCACCTTGAAACCGGTGAATTCATGCATTCGTTGTTTACTTGTGGGATCCAGGTTCTCGCTTGGCCATTCACCAAACACACGCACTTAATTAACGGAAAACTATTTTCTTTTTCTTTATTTCCTGAACTTTCTGTTCACGCCCCACACTTTTTCAATTTCCTGTCACTGGCTTCAAAAATACTGTAGCATACTTTTAGATGTCCTTGCCAGCGACAGATACCAAATTATTTTGGGTGTGAGGAGAAAGTGAAAGGATTTGTTAGGGGATAGGATATGGACAAGCTAATAGTTACTTAAAAATGTTGCAGAATTTAAGTAAAATTTATTTTCTTATTATTCTTCTCTTTGAATTTTTTGGGATATTTTAATCTAACTAAGAAGGCTTTCAAAAAGTTTAAAGTTTCTATAAATCTTTATTCATATAATAATGTTGCGTGACTTTAAAAGCCCATTGAAATGTAAAGCTCTCTTCATTACATATTTATTTCACATAGAGAGCATTGCAAACTTCGAATCCAAACCTCATAACATCACCATTTGCTTTTCTACAGCAGATATTTTCTTAGTGCCAACCGGAAATTGTGCTTATGCAATTGCACAAGTTCTCTTCGAAATCCGTACGAGGTCAGTACGTTGAAAAGGGAGGTAGAAAGAAAAAAAATGTCAAAAAGTTGTCGAATGGGGAAGAACCCAAAAGAAAACGGGGACTTCAACTTCACTCCTGGTGCTGAGCTCTAGACAATGCAGTGTAATTTGCTGAAATGTTAAACAAAACGTAATAACTGGGAGTTGACAATGTCGATGGCACTTGGAGAAAAAATATCTTAAAAAGTAGTTAACAGATTATCAGAGAAAACCTAAAAATGGGTTAAAAAGTTATCCAAATCTGCCATGAAAGACGCTAAGCTATTAAATAATAGACGTTACATGTTATAAAATGTCATCAAAAGAGTTTTGTTTTGTAAACTTTCTGTTTCTGTGAAAAAGCGAACCACTTTTTTTCAGTACATTCATGCGTTTCTTTTTCGTTTCGCCTGGTTGTAGATTTTTCCGATCTCTTGTTTTTTTTCCTTGCTACTGCTCCTTTTCAACAGCAATAAAAGTCGATTGTCAACGTTGACTGGCATTCTTGAAAGCGAGTGAGTGTATAGCGAGCTTCCAACCTTTGCATCCTGCAAAGATTCAACTTGGTCCTGGCCGAGTGATTTTCAGGTATGCCAAAGCAACATAGCCAAAGGTCCCTCTGCCAAACTCCAGTTCTCTGCCCATCACTTAACATTCTCTAATGTCCCCAGTCTGAAAGTCTGAAAGAGCAGAGATATGTATAGATATGGAAGGGAGGGATAGGTGCAAGGGTAAGAGGGTTTGGAAACTATGCAGAAATCAAAATGCTTCATAAAACGGAAATGAAAACAAATGAAAAATGATTTTTACTTATGGGCAAATTGTTCCACACAGCTCTTCCAATCTCAATTCCTGGCCAGCCATTGTTGCATGTGCACCAAGTGCTTGTTGCAAATAAATTGCATTTGCACTTTAAACATCGTCGATGCGGCAGCTGTTGCTACTCATTCTTCAGCTCTCCGGATAATTCCTTTCATCCTTGCTAGTAGAACATGAGTGTGTGTGTGTGCGTATGTTGTTTGTAGGTGGGGGAAAAATACACGACAAGGTAAGCCTGATTAATGTTGTTCAAGCTTTTCTTCCACTGACGAGACGAGTCGAATAAAGGCCAAGAGCATTTAGTGTACAAAAGAGAGATAGAGCTAAATTTTTTTTAGGCCGTATTTGAGCATGTAAGAATTTGCTCAGTTAGTGTGACAGCTTAAGTACTAATTTATCGTTGGCTGAGATGGGGTAACTATACTCAAGGAGGCTCTCAAGAATTATATCAAAAGTTCTTCCCAGAAAACTGTAAAGGATATGAAACTTCAGCTGTTATTAATAATTATTTATTTCTTATCAACTTCCTTAATGCTAGAAGAGCACTTTCTTATATCAAAAATTAAGAACAAATAATCTTAAGAAAATATTTAAATATCTCTCAGGGAAATCCTTGACATATTGTTGAATTAATTTCCATCCTTTTTCCCAAGTGTTGTATACATAGTTGTTTGCCTTACACTTGACCATTAAGATGGGACCTCTTCTCGTAAATATCTGTTGAAAAGTGAACAGCCTGTTGACCTTTTCTTAACCCCGGATCAGTTGTTGACCCGCCACGAACTTGAGCAAAACCGACCCCCACTGCCAAACCAAACCAACATGATGATGAACCAATACAATAGGCCAACAGAAACCACAAGATAGCCAGCCCACTTGTAGAGCTCTCGCCTTACACATGCCCTTTATTAAAAAATTAAAATTGCTAACCAAAGAAAGGATAAAAAGGGTGAGTGTTTCTTCCTACCTTGTAACCTTTTTCTTTGCTTCTGTGTGGTATCATTTTTTTGTAGCTAAAATAATCAGGCAACTTAATTGAATCAAGTTGCAAGACGATCCGGGCCAAAACCAAACGAAAAGCCCACCATAATAAACGGTAAAAGAAAAGGCCAAAGAAAAGAGTTGCTCAAAGGGTTGAGGGAAACCCACCAAAAAAAAAATAACAAAAAAAAAAAGAGGAAGGAAAGTGGGTTGGTTGAAAGGAGTAAACAAGGGCTAAGGAGTGAAAATGTGCGCAAGAAAGCAAATAAATTGAAGTGAAAACAAATAGCCCGGGATGTGATGGTGGTGGAGCTGCTACTGGTTGGTCGAAAGGGGGTTCCACTGTGAGTCTTTCGGAAGGGACCGAGCGGACATTCCGTCAGAAGCCCACAATAACAACTCCACCTTATTTATAAATTAACAGTAACAATTTTTCCCGCCGGACATACACTTAAAAATTTTCGTGCATAAAAGTTTAATATTTCTTGCCCACTCTGTTTCCTTTTCTCTTTGTCTCTCTCTCTCTCTCTCTCTCTCTCTCTTTCTTTCTTGTTTCGTTGCCTGCTGTTTTCATTCTGCTTATTTCCCTTCTTGTTGTTCTTTGTCTGGCTGTTAGTGTGTGTGTGTGTGTGTGCTTTGTTCCGGGAAAAAGGAAGCACCGGACAAGGTCCTTTGCCGTCGCTTAAGCAAATAATTTCTTTTCTTAGGCAGCGCTTTGGCTTTTATGCTCCGCCGAGTTCCGACGAGGTCCTCCGGAGTTACTTCTTCCTCATCCTTCTTTTTCTTCATCTTCTTTAGCGGCAAAAAAAAGATTCCCAACTGGCCAGCTGCATTGGTCCTCGTTTTGCCCTTTGGAGCTGCTCCCTGTTGTGCGTTTTGTTTTTAGTTACCTCCTCCTCTTGTTTGGCCTGCACTTCTCACGCACATTCTTCGGGGAATTTGCCTAGCACTCAGTCCAACGGATTCCGCTCCACGGGAAGATCTTTAAAAGCCTGTTGGGAATTTGCTTGCCAACTTTAAGTAGTTTGCACAAATTGAGAAATTAATATCGGAAAAGGAAGTAAAGCTATGGTTATATTGTTACTTAATGGTAAAGATTTTTATGGTTTACACTTAACTCTAAGGAGAGTCTGTTTATATTTTTGTTAATTTGTTAATCAAAACCACTTTTAATATAGTTGTTTATTTTGTTTTTATATATTTTTAGCAAGCAACTGTTTAAGGTCAATAAAATGCTAAATCATTTAAAAACATTTCATCTAAGAATTCTGATAATTTCTTTTTAATAATGATTGATTAACCCTGTATATGTTATTTGTTTATGTTTTGACGGGCATTATATTTTGATAATTAAGACATTTTTTTATGTATTCAAAGAAGGATAAAACGATTTTTAGTTTGTGTCACTTAAAATGTCTGTGATACTAGTACCTGCATTAAGAAAATCGAAGAGCAAAATGGAAAGCTTTTAGCATTATCGACCATTTCATGACGTAGTGATAATTTCCTTTAAACACATTTCGCAATTTTCAAAGTAAATGTGAAATAGTTTGTTGACCTTGCTAAGAAGTCAGCAAAAAACAACCTATAAAGATAATATGAATTGGTTTGGACTGCCCTAACTGTGGATTCTCCATTGAAATTCTAATCTCGTTTCCTAAGGTAAGAGCGATGAAAATGCATAATGTAATACCCAACATCAGCATGATTTAGCGATATTTTCTAAAGCTCTCTCATTCGCTATCAGCAAAAGCTCAGTTCATATTTATATAGAGAAGCTTTGGGGGATTCTCAATTATTCGTTGCTAGAGACTCGTTCAGTGACAATGAGATTATTGACTGTGATCGCGTTTGTTTTTTGCGCTTTAAGCGCCAAGCCTCTGGAAACGGAAAGTGCCAAGATTTTGGTCACTTTTCCATTTCCGGGTCGATCTCAGTATATATTTATGGAGAACTACTTGAAGGCCTTGGCCGCTAAGGGTCACCAGGTGACAGTGATTAATGCTTTTAAGAATAAAAAAACGACAAATATGCGTTTCATTGAGGCACCCAAAGTGCTTGAATACGCCGATGGTGGGTATTATATATTATTTAAATATTTTTAATATAAAAAAATATTATTTGATATTTTGTTTGATTTACAGAAATGATGAGCCAACTGAATGTGCCCATATTGTGGCAACAGCTTAACGCAATGGATAAAATTTTAGCCCAAATCTCCGATATCACAATGGCAGATGAGGGTGTGCAAAAACTTCTAAATTCTGGCGAAACTTTTGACATTGTTTTGGCTGAGATGATTCAAACGGAACAACTCTATGGCTTTGCTGAGCATTTCAATGCCACTCTAATTGGTTTCTCCAGTTTTGGAACAGATCAGAAAATTGATTCACATGCTGGCAATATATCACCCATATCGTATAACCCATTGGTGACCTCTCCTCGTACCGATAAGATGAACTTTCTGGAACGCTTAGAGAATCACTATGAAACACTCGTCGAGGAAATTCATCGACATTTCGTTCACCTGCCAAATAGCCAGAAGATGTACAAAAAATATTTCCCGAATGCTAAGAAAACCATGGAGGAAGTCATGGATAGCTTTTCGTTGATTCTGCTGGGTCAGCACTTTACATTGAGCCATCCACGACCCTATTTGCCCAATATGATTGAGGTTGGTGGTATGCAAATTTCACACAAACCAAAACCACTGCCAGAGGATATTAAGGAGTTTATTGAAAGTTCTCCGAATGGTGTTATTTACTTCTCGATGGGCTCAAATGTTAAGAGCAAAGATCTGCCACAGGAAACTCGGGATGTACTGTTGAAAACCTTTGCCAAACTGAAACAGCGTGTGTTGTGGAAATTCGAAGACGATGACATGCCCGGGAAGCCTTCGAATGTATTGATCAAGAAATGGTATCCACAGCCAGATATTCTAGCACATCCCAATGTCAAGTTATTTATCACCCATGGTGGCCTGCTGAGCACCACAGAGAGTGTTTACTTTGGCAAACCGGTGTTGGGATTGCCCTGTTTCTATGATCAGTACATGAATGTGATGCGTGCTCAGCGATTGGGATTCGGTTTGGGATTAGATCTGAATAATCTAAAGCAAGATGAGCTAGAGAAATCCATTAATACTCTTCTCACCGATTCAAGTTATGCCAAAGCATCTGCTGCAATCTCGGAGAGGTATCGTGATCAGCCAGAATCAGCTCTTGATCGAGCTGTCTGGTGGACGGAATACATAATCAGGCACAACGGTGCTCCTCATCTGCGAGCCGCTTCCCGAGATCTTAACTTCATTCAATTGCACAGTTTGGATACATTGGCTGTTCTCTTGGCCATTCCTCTATTAGTTTTCGTGGTTATCGTTAAGTTAGCTTGTAAATTACTGGGGGGCAAGAAAGCAAAGTGTCCACATGCTGATAAGGTCAAGAAACAGTAGAGGCATTATCTATCTGTGTTGTTTGTTTACAGTCCTTAGTTCTTTAGTTGCGTTATCAGGCTTATCTAGTAAAATTATTGTTGAAATTAAATTTTTTATTGCTTAAAAGTTGTTTGTTATTTCAAGGGGCTCACGTTTATTGAGAGAATAACCGGGAAACACCGCTGCCGGTTGATAATAATATTTTCTTTTTACTATCATTACTTAATCAGCTGTGTGAGTGTTTTTGTTTGTGTTTGCTTGTGATAAGTCCGTCCTAGAAATCCGTTTATATTTACACAATGGGAATGGAAAATAATCTATATATAGGAAAAGATAAAGGAGTTTAATCTAATCAATTAGTTTGATGTAATACTTAGGCGGTTTAAATTGTTTTTTACAAGATAATGGTTTTTATTTTTACCTTCTTTATTTTAATAACAAGTTATTATCAAGCTAAGCTAAACCACCTTGTATTTTTGTTTTATTTAATATAAATTATTTATAAATTATTCCATGAAAACAAATTAAAAGCTTTTTGCTTTGCATACAAATAAGAAGATATTAAAAGCAATTAATATATAGTAAACATTGCGGGCTATGGCCAGCCCATATCCATAAAGCTAGCTACTCATATCATCCCACACAGCGTATACGCGATATTAATCAAATTGTCATTGAAAATTGTTTTTTTTTTGCTATTCCTCTCTCATCTGTTTCACTTTATCAACACCCTCTCAGTGCTTGATTAAATGAAAGGCATTTAAGTAAAATTATTTTTTTTTAAACGCCGTCACCGCCCACGATGCCCTTTTTCTCAGAACCACGCCCACACCCAAGAACTTTTGGCCAAAGTACACAAAAATTACCGAGTTAAAAATATCGCTAGGAGAAAAAAAAAACTTTATCTTAATTGCGGGTTACTTTTTTTCAACTGGTCTGCCCAGGTAGCTTGGTCGGAATAAAGGGGGCGTGGAACGGGTTGCTGGCTGGACGGTATGGCAGGGGACTCCGGCGGAAAAAGTGAACCGAAATTTGTGTCCGTTGCTAGCACCAGGACACGCCCTAAATCACTGGCTTTTTATCAACTTCAACTTGAAACGAAATTCAAATGTTTCGCTCGTTTTTCTCGGCCTGCAAATGCGATTCGGCTCCGGCTGTTGCCCCTAACAACTCTGGGAGATGGGCCGTGGAGGAAAAACTGGAGTGAAAAAATGCGATTTACACTGAGGAAAACAATTTTAACTAAGACTTGTAAGCATAGAAGATATAATTTAAGTCTATATATTTAAGACTAATTGATTTACTGATCTTAATGTAGGTTTTATATGGGCACATTGTAGATTTTTACAAAAAAATGCGTAAATGTGTGATTTTCCCCTTTTTCTCCCAATATATGGTTTCTGTAGTGTTCTGGTTTTTTGATTTTTCTAAAAAGTGTTGTCCAGAAGGGGCTCTTTCTCTCAGTGTATCCACACATACGCAAAAAGGAAGCCTGTCCCTAGCCACTTTGCACTAAGTACTCACACAAAATTCCGTTTGAAGTTTTTGGGTGCTGGTGCTGGTGCCTTGTGCTTGGTGCTTGGGTGCTTGGGTGCCTGGGTTCTCGACCATGGGCAGCACCTGTACAGTGGGCACCCAGCCTTCGGCCCTCACCTCTTCAGCACGTGCACAGTCAGCGGGCCATCGCTTGCTCGGCTTGTAAATTGTATCCGTTTCAGGCACATAAATTGTTGTCAACTTCCGTTGGCTGCGACAACGTCGCCGCCGCTGACCACTTCTGTGTCCAGCGATTCACCTGCTCCACTCCGCTATGGCTTCGCTTGGATACCCAGGTATCCCTTTTGCCTGGTTACAGGTTACACCAGCGTATGGCCAGCTTTGACTTGAGAGCATACGCCAGAGCCATAGAGTTTGTCTTTCCTACATTTTTAGAGTCCTCGATTAGGGTATTGTGATTTTATCTTTGGATTTATTATATAAATGTTTATTTAATAAATTTAATATTTAATAATACATACAAGATAGTCAATTAGTTCGAAAAAGAATTAATATATTTTATAAACAGTGTTTTAAATAATTTTTCTAACATTTTTGAAGAAATTCAATTAATACTAACTTCTAAAAGTGTCAAAAATGTTTGATCCCTTGTTCTGAATTATGATGAAGATGACTTTAATATTATTCAACCAACATATATTTCGATATTTTACAGTATCTAAAACTTCGTTATTTGAAGAATACTATTTCCATCATGATTGTTTTTTTTTTAGTACGTTAGTTCAGCTTGGGCCAACTTTGGCTGTCCATGTTTTTTTTTTTACCTTGCCTTTGCCCTCGTTGGGTGTGTTTTTTGCGCTCTTTGCTGCTACTCGATGCAGCTTCCAACTCCAACGTAATTGAATTTTTAATCTCGTTTATAGTCAAGTGATCTCTGGCATACACTCCCGGTGTACAACTGCGCATATTTTACGTGCCCGGTGCTTTGGTAGCTGCTTTCGGCTAACTGCCGCCTTGTCCTGTTCCTGTTCCTGTTCCTGGTCCTGATGGTCCAGCTCCTGTTCCTGGTGTATTCCTCCGAATAACAAGGGGTCAAATACACTGGGCAAATAAGGTTTTCGGACGAAGGACGTGAAGGGTTAATGCCAGGGACATTGCCTCATAATGAGTGCCCGTCGTTATGCTAAATAGTTGAGCCAAAAAATGGTAACTTTTTCGAAATGCTACCGTCTCCACACCCGTTTGGGGGTTAATATGCACACCGAATTGCATATTCAACTTTATTTTTTTATTTTTTTTTTGGTTATGTTATAAAGTATATCTCAAACAATGCCCTGTCGGCGGGCGAGGCGACACAAAAGGACCTCAAACAAGTGCTGTGGCATGTGAGTTATACAATGCCCACGGAAAGTCCGCATCGCAAACTGTTTTAATGGAGTTTGGAGTTAAACGAAAATCCTTCTTTCTACACAAACTCAAACCTCGAAATCCAAACCAAATAGAAAACTAAATTTGGTCTTGAAAGGGGTTAACAAAAAATCGTTGAGTTTTGGCGTAACTGTTTACGGTGAAATCATGACGTGTCAAAGGCGAGTAACGTGTGCATCATTAACGGGCTTACGTGACGACTGCGGCGTTCAATTAAGCCTTAATTATAACCACTTTCCTTCGAGGTCCTAGTTTTCAGCTGCTTTCTGGTGCGACATAGTTTTCTTCTCCTAATTATCGAGTCGCAGTTTCACGATTCGATTTCGCATGATGGCAGATTAAGAGCAAAGATGAGGGAATTTTTGGTAGAGTTTGTTAGGGGAATTTTTGGAAAAAAGGGTAACTTAAGCTAGAACTGAACCCTGTACATAGTTTTACCCCTCATCAATGCATGGTTTTTGTGACTTAGTTAGTGAAATTTAACTAAGAAAATGCACGTATCAATAAGAAACTAGTAAAGTTATAACAAGAAAACTTTAAACTTTTAATTGGATAACAACATGGTTCATTAGTCCATCTCTGGCAGGGTAAACATTTTGCAGTTCTTGCCTGAAAACCCTACGGATACAGATTCCCTTCGAATTTCGTTGTTTAGTGGCAGAGATTGTAGTGGAACTTGACTGACCTACGAATACAATTCGAACCGTGTCCAGCCCCCAGAATACTGGCAAAATAATTATGCTGGTCGCCACGGCAATGGATGTAACAGCAGCTGTAGTGCCCAGCCCAGCCATTAGCAAACACGGTCTGAGCATTAATTAAATATTAACCGAAGCAGACATGAATGAAGGCAAAGGTGGTTGGCATTGTTGTTGGGTTTTTGGGGGCATTGGTTTCTGGACCCTCAATTCCAACCCATCCTTACTTACTGGCTACATGTTATGTCACTGTTATTGTTGCATTTGGCAATTGTTTGATTTTCATTAAAACCACTCAACCGAGTTGCTTATCTTAATTATGAGATTTTGCCATAATATTTGCATTAGATGGGAGCCAATGCAACTGCTAAACAGAAACAGCAACTGCATAATGCGGCAATGCATCTCAGCTGCTAAAGTACAACTACTTGTATCTCATCCTAAACACTGTGGGAAAGTTCATGTTGAAAGGTGTTTTGGGTTACGGGAAAGATGTGTAAGCTATATTGAGTTACATATTGTATCGTTAGAAGTTCCTTCAGTGTATAAACTTCTCTATAGAACTGTCTGTCTTGGCCAAATGCAATGCAAATGTTTGTGGCTTTTGCTCGAATTTTGCTGGGCAAACGTTGCGTATACGTAATTTAGCATATTCAAGTGTAACAATGACCTAACCATATTTGTAAGTTTTTAGCAACGGTCAAGGATTGCCAACACCCGTTGTGCTAAATTTTTTAACTGCAATAATTATACGGCAATTAGCCAAATGTTCAATAATGCAGCACCAGCTTCAGGTTCCATTTCCCAACTCCCATTTCCCATCTCCCATCTCCCATTTTCCACATTTTCCATTTCCCAGTTTCAGCTGCGCAGCCGTTACAAAATTTTTGACTGCACTCGGGTAAACTTCTAATTGCCATTAGCGCACTTTACTTTTTCCTGAATTTGCTGCTTCGATGGGTGGTTTGGGTTGCCTTGGTTGTATATACATATATATGTGGGGGAGGGATAGTGAAAGTGGGTGCAAAAAAAAGGTGGGCGGGGCGAGAGGGAACTGCAGGTGAGCGCGTAATTAGACCGCGCCGTTAGCTGCCGCTTGGTTGGCTGGCTGTCTGTAATTTAGTACTAATGGCGCACTTAAAGTGCAGGCAATTATTGTAGACCTATGCGGGCAAGGTGTGCACTTGCTCACAGCCCTTCAGAGCCCCACCCAGCTCTCAGCTCTCAGCTCTCTCTTCGATCCTTGGCTCATACAATATATATCCCTATATCATCCCCACTACAGATCCTGTGCCGCTTTTAGCACTCACAGTTTGCGCTCGAGTGGTTTCAATAACAGCGCCTAGCCGAGGAATTTCTATCTATATATTCGCTTGGTTGTCCTCTCTTGTCTCGTCCTCACATCCTCGTCCTTCCTGCATTGTTGTCCTGTGTATGTGTGCGTGTGTGTCCTGTGTGCTGGCTTAGTGGATGAACTGATGGTTTCTGCTGCATTTCGAGTGG